TATCGGTGGGCCTGGGGTGGTTGGAGGGGGCGACAATCACTGCTATCCGGTAGGGGACATTAAAACATTGAGCCCACGTCACACGGCGACCGCCGGCACTCAATTTTACCCGAGGGGCCGTCTTTAAATGATCAAATCATGATTCGGCAATTAAGGGGTGGTTAGAAAGGGTTGGAAGTTCGCAAGGGCGGTTTTCTGACACGGCATTATGTCGGCTGTACCTAGGAGAGTACTCCTCTACATTTTCAGTCGGATCCGACCCCCCAATCGGTCAGGGGAGCGTCACAAAGCAACCTCTGTTTCCTAACCACACTGCGAAGTGGGGTGTCGCGATGCGTTAGGCCCCACAGCTCGCGAACCGTTCGTGATCAAGGTTTGCGCTTTGAGGGGTCTGATGCCAACATATGAGCCTATCTTCCTGCCAAACGGCAACCTCCTTCCTAATCACACTTCGAAATTACGCCCTGTCAAAAAAGTGGCGCTTTAATTTTGCTCACGAGTGTATTAATCAACAATACTATACCCTGTATGAATATGAACCTTTGAACATTATTGTGCTGTATAACACCATTAATTATACAAGCAGGAAAAGTCCTAAAGCTATCTGCTTGACTATTGCACCCAATTGCTGCACATTTCCTCCACTTGGATTTTCTTTTCTTTTTATTGATGCCACTTGTATCCACATTAGTATCCTGCAGTCCAAAGAGTAATAGGTTCGAGTAATTTATATACCAAAGTACCACATGTAAATAAGTAATGCAATAAAAGAAAGTTCCTACTGTTTGTTCAAGAATTTGAATTTCATCCGTGTTGTCGTCTGAGAATCCTGTTTGAACAGGAATCTACAAAGGACAAAACACAAACATTAAATCTTTACTTATATGACAAAGTTTTTTCAAATCCATTAATACATACTTGTTGTGCTTCCAAAGAAGACATGTCCATTTCAATTATTAGTGTAAATCCTTGATTGTAGTCCATTTGGCCTTCATTAATTTGAACAATCTTAAAAACATAATTTCAACATTAATTCTCAACAAGCATAGAAATACAATTTTAAATCTATTAGCAGGTACCTTGTCAATGACATGTGTAAATTCATTGCAGTCCATATGGTCATCACTAGGAATCTACAATTAAAGGACAAAACACAAACGTTAACGCTTTACTTAAATGACAAACTTCTTTGAAATCCATAAATACGTACTTGCTGTGCTTCCAACGAAGACATGTCAATTTCGATGATAGGTGTAAATCCTTGATTGCAGTCCATATAGTCTTCATTAGTTTGAACAATCTAAATAATATGATAATTTCAACGACGTTAATTCTCAAACAACCATACGAATATAATTTTAATAAATCTATTAGCAGGTACCTTGTCAATGACGGCCGACAACTTCATTTCAACCAGTGCTGTCTTATTCCATTGGTTCTCTTCAGGTTCCTTGATAGAAATAGTAGGCACAGACCTTGCCTTCAGTTTTTTAAGCCCTTTGGCTTCGTCATCAAAATGAGCACTACATAAAAATAGATTTTCTGGAATATCCTCGACAGAACTGCCAAGTTCTTTGGCAATCCACTGTCGCCACTTATCTCTTGTCTCTAAGTCTTTGGGTAATCTATGAATGCAACAATTTAACTTTAGAGGAACACGAACATCTTTTTTACAAGTATAAATCTCGTAACCACTTACATATGATAACTTAATCCTGCAGTTCTAATTTTTTTGCAGAAAGGCATAAAACACCTGCACTTCTTTGCACTGCCAGCCATAATTATTGTCGTTATTGTTTAGATTTCAACCGATCATCAACAGCTCTGTACATGTGTCATGTGTCAGATGAGGGAAGTAAATGACATTAAAACCGAGAGGTTTCGCGCCTTGCGTGTCTACAAAACCATAGTACCAACATTCCCGTACGAAAATATTGGTCTCAACCCGGGAAGCGATTATGTTAATTAATTATAATGAGAAATAATAATAGAAAACTTGCTCTCCTTCATTTTTTGTAATTTTAAATTTTTTATTTACTAAAATGAAGTAATTTTCTTGTTCAGTTGCTGTTGTCATGTTTTCCACTTCTTGACCAAATGTTGTCGCGTTATGTTGGCCAGCATGGGAGTTGAGGCCGCGATCGGGAACGCGACCCCTGGCTCTCAAGTCCGGCCAGATAGAAGTGGCTTCGCAGTTGTAACTTAAGATTCAGTTATAGGTTACGTTAGCTCAGCCAACAATGTGGCTCCAAGAGAAGCACACACTAAAGATTTCTCTCTCATTAAAAATGGGTTGAAATACTTTACAGTTGGTATAGATATCAATAATTTCACACCTTTTGTGAGTCTTGTGGCAAAAACTACCAATAAAGTAGTGCAAATCACTGGTTCTGAATTCCAGGATCTGGTTTCAGAAGATTTTTATAACAGTGTAGTAAAAAATTATGAGAAAAAGGTATCTAAGCCTCTCAGCACTGGTAACGTTCAAGTCTCAGTTAAAAAGTATGCTACCAGTAACACCATTTGTGTTGAGAAAGAGAATGCTAAAATTTACATGGCACTTTCCTCATGAAAATTCATTCAAAGAATTAAGAAAATGATGCTCATGTACCTGGCGGAGTGTGAGACACTCTGTTTCCAAGCAAATTCAGGCTTCTCTGACTTGCTCACTCATATCAAAAATTTCTGTCTGCCACACAGTAAAGATTTTGCTCAAATTAATGAGGCTGGCATGTACAATATGCGTTGCAATGCATTTGAGGGATCAACCATTTATTTCCCTGGACAATTAATGCAGGATATATTGTGCTATCATTTGGACTATCTCAGACAATGTATTGCTGACATGCTCAAAGAAAATTAATTCTTTGGCAGTCCAACCGGCGCAGGGAAGGAGCTGGTCAGGCCCCAAAAAAGAAATAAAATAGAAAAATGAAAACAAAGGTTTTTTCACATGTGTGTGAGAGACTGTCTATGTTTCACCTAAAAGTGGTGTAAGAAACTATATTTCTATTGCATAACCACATACTCATGGTATTAAGTGTGTCTCTCTTGTTCAAGTAGTCAATTTTTACATGAATCGCTGCCTTAAACTTGAAAGCGAAGTTGCACCCTCATTAGCACAAATGTATCAAAATATTTTGCAAGTATGTGCTTAAAAGATTCAGAATCCACTAAACAAACTATATCTCTTACTACCTTATGTGTGTTTCTGACCTCAGAACGGTTTCCAATCATCAAATACATCTATTTCTTTACCTAAAAAGTAAGCACAAGTTTTGACTCGGAAAATGTGTTATGTGGCTCAAAGTTGTTTAAAAAGTAAAGCAAATGATTCCTATTCTGTTTTGAAATGACTGTCTGATGGTGTCTCTGATGTCTAAATAATTTTAAAGTCCAACTCCTATGTAATCTTGCGACCCAGCTTAGCCGCTGTTTTTGTAACGGCTTTCAGAGAAATGCACATTTTGGACCCTTCGACAGAAGAAAATCATAGTGCATTAGATTCCAATAGTGCTCTGCCCTCATTAAGTCATGCATTGGAGAATGTATCTGATCTAAAACTCAAGCTCAACTAGTTAAGATTACTATTTGTCTAAAATTACTAGCTATATGTACGCCAGACCACGTCTCGCGTAACAGGCTTCGCGATATCTCACGAAACACTGTTACGCTGCGACGCGCCTGGCGCACATATAGCTAGGC